TATATATACACACACACATATACATATATATCCTAAATGATTCATGTGACACCGAGAACAATCTGAAACACTTGTCGCATACATTTCTGCTTGTCAAACAAAAATCTGCAATTTATTGAAAAGCTTCGGTCACCGCTAATGTGGCACTGAGAGGAAACGCAACCATTGCGACATTTCTTTTGTACTAAATGTCAGATGCTATTGAAATGCATAAGATGCTCTTTGGAATATTCTAAAATCGTCAGTTTAAAGGCTGCTGTTATTAAAGCAAAAGACAAAAATATTCTTACATGCATGCCATATAATTGTCCACACGATACAATCCAAAGTATCAATGGCATTTAATAACATTGCTTTTAACAAATAAGACAACATGAAACAGTAAAAAGAGAGTTATCAAGAGAAGTGTGAATTAAAGAGGGCTTGTTCTAAAGGTATGGTGAACTGAAACATTCACTAGAACCGTTTTTTGCTTCTCAGTTTTTGAACAAGAGGAGATTCAACATTCCACTGCCTGGGCACCGGTTTTCTGAGGGGTGGATGAAAAAAAAAAAAATATATATATATATATATATTAGTTATTAATATTAAGCAATAAACCATAATGCTTCATCTTTTGAAGATATTTTGCTTATTGATGTTTGTTCAATTAAATTAAATGAAACATTATAAATTCATCTGAACTCATCTGGAAATGTATCAACTTACTGTTGTTCTGGTGACATTAGATGTAGAACACTCTCTTCTTCATCCACAACTTTGCTACCTATAACTAGATAAAAATGTTAACATTCACAACCTTCCGTTTAGTACTTCTGCCGCTGAATAGCATGGACCAGTCAGTTTTAGCACTTTAGATGTGCAGGTTACCAGCTATGAACTACTGATACACTTGGGTTATAGTGTCATAAATGAGATTCCTGACCTTAAGACTTAAACATGGAAGAGCATTTGAAAACCGTACCTCTTCTAGATTCATTGCAGATGGCACTGACTTGCTCTCCAAATGTCACTTCATTTATGCTCGCTTTAAAGAACAAAAAAAGCATTTCCTTTGCATTTCTCAAATGAAAACAATACCAGCTCATTTCAGCACAGGCTCTTTTAAAACCGTAAAATTGACAACAGCATGCACAATCATTTCCATAATGTAAAAAAATAACATCCAAGTGGGGTGTCATATATCAAAGCCATTCACACACAATGCATTTCTGAATTTAAAAACATGTGATGTAGGGCAGTGGAGGGAAAAGGTCTAGAGTTTTATTTATTTATTTTTTAAGTTGAACTACTTTTAAAGGGGTCATATGATGCGATTTCAAGTTTTCCTTTCTCTTTGGAGTGTTACAAGCTCTTGGTGCATAAAGAAGATCTGTAAAGTTGCAAAGACTAAAGTCTCAAATCCAAAGAGATATTCTTTATAAAAGTTAAGAGTCAACCACGCCTACCTAAAACGGCTCGTTCTAACACGCCCCCACATGTCTACATCACTATGTGGAAATATTAGCATAATGGGGTCTAAATGTTCACGCAAAGAAAGAAGGCTTGGTTTCAGGAACAGCAGTAGTGTTGAAGCAGCATGTCAGGGAGACGCTGTGTGTTTCAGTGCGAAAGCAAAAGCACTTTATTTGGCCTTCCGGAAGTAGACGCAATTAGGAATCATTAGTTAAGATTTATTTACAACAGAACAGCACAACACAGATGTTCGAATTTGTGCAACACATTTTATGGACGACAGTTTTTTGAACCTAGAAGAGTACAAGGCTGGCTGTGCACAAAGGAAAAAGAGGTAAATTCCAACTTTGCTATGACAATCTGGCGCTTCTGAATCAGCGACTGTAAGTATGTTTGTTATTAGTTTAAGTATTTGCTATTGACTGTTCAAATGCGGAGTTTTGCGCAGCGCAGAGTAACGCGTCGTGTGTGTGTGTGTGAGAGAGAGAGAGAGTGTGTGTGTGTGTGTGAGGGGAACAGGGTCACATCACAAGAGAGTGAACTGTCTGTCAGAAATCATAGCACGTCAGCTGTCTTAACCGCGGCTTGTGTACTGCATCATCACTGTGTCTGTCACGTGACTCTGTTGCCCTTTCGGGCTTGAACTGATGGTAAAACTAACCACATTATTAACTTGATATCCGTCTTGATATTTACTTTGAAAGCTGAAGCTCACGATTACGGTAAGGGGCGTTACATTTCCGACGTGTGCTTGTGGTGTTCGGCCAATCACAATGCACTGGGTCAGAAGGCCAATCAGAGCAGGCGGGGCATAGAGGACCTACAATAATGTACAGTATTTGAAAAAGAATGTGTTTTTTGAACATTAAAGCATGTCAACATATTCAGTTACACGAAATACACAAAATAATGATCTTTAAAACAGCATCATATGACCCCTTTAACTTAAGCACCATTTTTTTAGAATGCGGTGTCATGCTGCAAAAGTGAGTGTGACAGTCTTACACGTCCGTCTAGCACATTTACTCAGAAAAACAATGGAAAAGCAGCACAGTGGAATGCAAAAATGTGTTGTGCGTGAACCGCCCTTAAGGGTGGACATTTGTAATTATGGGAGACATCCAAATGAATGAATCTGACCTTGTGGAGTACTGATGGCTCTCCCAACCTGTTTTCCTCGTCCTGTCAGAGGAGAAAGAGAGAGAGAGAGAGAGAGAGAGAGAGAGAGAGAGGCCGCGCTTAAAAATGATTTTTAACTGATAATATAGATGCTCTATATTAAAGTACACAAAAAGCAGTGCATTTTGTTTTATTATTGCCAATGCTTTTTCTTGTTTTCATTTGCCACCCAGAACTGAAGCAAAATACACTTTAGTCTGTCTAAAGTTTGTAACCATAATTGTAATTTTGATCATTTATTATTAATTATTAACAATTATTATTTGTTTTTTGTTTAAAGACCAATTTGAATTTTAAGAGACAGAATGTGAAATCTATCTTTTTATTTAATTGAGAAACTGAGTCTTATATGAATATGGAAAACATATTATAGAGAATATTATATTATATACATATAAACATAAATACGTTTATATTATAACATATAAACATATTATAGATAATAAAATATATCTAAAATTCCTTTGAAGAGGTGAAATTAATTTTTTCAATCACAGATGTTATAAAAATCACATCAGAAATAAATGACCTTTATTGTTCTGTATAAGCAGTATTTATTGTTCTGTTATTGGGTTTACCTGTTGAAAAGACTGTAGGGGAAGAATGGGTCCTGACCGGAGTTACCATGCCTGCATAAGTGCGGCGCCTGAGAGAAAGAATAATTGTAAATGCAGCATGACTTCATAAAAAAAAAAATCACATTTTGCCTTATCTTTACAGATAACATTACTGATGATATCATTATTACACTGATATTATACTGGTGATGTCAAACTTGAAAAAAAAGGGAAAAAAAGAAAAGAAAAGACAATTATCTGTTGTACTGGGATGTGGCTCAGTTTTACCTCAGAGCATCAGCAGATTTTGGGGTTTGTGCGGGACCTTTAGTACCATGAGGGTTTAGAGGGGAGGCAAAACCTGTCTGCCCCCCAACATGTGTTGCCTGGGCAGGAGAAGCCACAGTAAAGAATGGGCAAGAGAGGGAAACAGAGGAAAGAAAGTGGTGGTCAAAAACCAGCAGTAACGCTTCATGGCTTTGTTGTCACATCTGCTAGTTTCCGATGTATGTGTATGTTTGACTTACGTTTCGTTGGGGTGAAAATGTGAAGTTGGCCAGTTGATTCTCCATCTGCTGTTGTTCTTGTTGTTGTTTTTCCTTTTCAAACCATTTCAGGTTATACTCCACCTCTGCAGTCAACTGCTCATCAGCAGCAAACAGCTCCTTCACTTCTGAACGATAGTCCTGCATGGTCACCTGTAACACAGACAAAAGCCAGGTGTCAGAATAAATAAAAGTTTGTTTAGAGGCAAAAAGAAATGAACGGTTTCAAATACATATGGTTAAACTAACTCTAATAGGGATGGGTATGAATAACAGATTACTCATAAAATAACATCAATGATCAATTTCCTCAGCTTCTCTTTTGTGCGCGTGTATTTCAGTAAATTAATGTCTATATCACCTGTAGGTAGGCCATAAGGTGTTTCAGGACAGGTGAGTGTTGCTCTTCCAGCATGTTCTTCAGACTGATGATGATAGGAATAACATTCTCCACAAAGTTCCTCTTTTGGACCTGCACATAAAACAGATGGCAAGTTCAACAAAGGTCAGACAATAGTTTTTTGACTGCCTTCAGAATATACCTTCAGGACGTTCATTCACCTGTGAGACCAGCTTTTTCTGGGCCACCTGTAAGACAGCTTTAGCCATGGCCATCTCATCCTCCTGAGGTTCCTCTCCTGCTGCTGGGCCGCTCATGGCTGTCAGTTTCATCTCTTTCAGCGACAGGATGTCAAAAGTATCTGAAAGCAACTCTGAGCTGTCAGAGTCCAGAGGCAGCTCAGAGTCCACAAAACTGGCTGGAGAAGAGAGGAATCTGTAAGAGCAACGTCCATGTAACACACCAGTGTTTCCTGAACTTCTGCTGAATCTACAGCATATTTTAAACCATTTGCCTCCAAACTGTAAACAGATGATAAAAGGTGTATCATTCCTGTTGCCCCCTCTACTCTGTTTCCCCTTCAGCTGGACTCAATCAGATTCAGAATTTGTTCAATCTTAGTTTTGCTCTTGATGTAAAAGAACCATTCGCCTGTGATTCATTTAGTTTTTTCACATCGCCTTTGGAAAAGGCCTTTTTTAAAACAATGTTCTAAATGTTTCACAATTGATCATTCATTTGTTTCATAAACTACAAATCTAGCAGTTATATACATTTAATATATAATATATTATATATATATATATATATAGAAATATTATAATATATAGAAAGAAAGTATTGAACACTGAAAGGGCAATGGAGCGAAGCGGCACCAAGTGTATAAAGATGTTTCACCTGAGATAAAGAGGATGGGTTGAAAAAATGAAAAAAAAAAAAACATTGCCATTTTAAAATGTAAATTAAAAACCATCTTGATTTGTGTAGGAGTAGCTTGCCAAAAGATCAGAATTTATACAAGTTTTATCTATAATGTTAAAAGGGTAATATCATCAATAAAATGATATCATAGAAGAGACTATTTATTAAAACAAAACTGCAAAAATAGCTTGATCAAATGACAGAACCTCAAAATATTAATATATGATGGCCCACATTTACAATTCAATGGCGCTTCTTGGATGATCAGAATCAAATAATCAAAATAAGTACTTAGTAATTTTAAGCAACAAAGACTTGTAATGTTTTCATTTCATATGCAAAGAGCAGAGCAGCAAAAAAACAGCGCATTTAATCGTAAGGCGGCGTGGCTCTAAAAAAAAAATAATAATAAATAAATAAATAAATATTGACAACTTTAATAAAAGCTTGGTCTGTACCAGCAGGCCTTCATTGATGTTCTCAGCTCCCTTCTCTTGTAGAATGACACCAGACAGATAACTCTCACACACAGAGACCAGCTCTCCACAGAAACGATCCAGGAACCTCTGAAACCCCCACACACAAAGAAAATATTAAAGCATAAATGACACATTATATTAAGACTTTTGGTAATGGTATAATCTTACCAATGTGTCCGGAGTATTGTCTGATCTTGAAAATCTGACCAGAGTATCCACACAGGAGCTGATTACCTCCAAAGGCAGGCTGAAAGTCTTCAACCAGCCCATCAGATCATCTACACAGGTAAAATGTACACATTTGCAATGTATTTGAATTAAAATACCATTATTAATTTACTAACAAAGTTGCATTGTGAATGCAAAAGCTTTGTATTACCTGTCTTATGCAAACAGGTAATTAGACTGACTACCATATTCTATAGCACAAAAGTTTCAGGTCAGTAAGAATGTTTTTGAAAGAAAGAAATATAAATATAAATATAAATATATATATATATATATTTATTTATTTATTTAGCAAGGATGCAATAACGACAATAAAAAGTTGAATTTTTAAATGTCACAAATGATTTATGTTGCACTTTGATAATAAGAAATGTTTCTTGAGCGGCAAATTGGCATATTAGACTGGAGTAATTATGCTGAAAATTTGGCTTCGATCACTGGAATATATTAATTAAATTTTACAATACATTAAAAGAGAAGGTATTTTAAATTGTAATAATATTTTACAATATTACTGCATTTCTTATTAAATAAATGCAGGCTTGGTGAGCAGAAGAGATTTCTTTAAAAAAAAACATCTCACTGACCCCAAAGTTTTGAACAGTAGTGTGCATCATCAATCTAAAGTACAAATGTCACAATAGCAGTTTTCAGTTCATCTGAATCCAACCTGACTATAAATGACTCGTGGTTCAGTGAGTGTGTAGGACCAATAACTTGTGAGCTCAAGACACATTCCGGTTAAAAAGAACTGCCTAACAAGACCAAACTGTTTGCTCCTTGAAGATGCAATAAATTAATGCCACCTAACCATATTAGTTATGATGAAATCACATCACCTGTCACCGTTGGGAACCATTTTTATTAGAATCACAAATAATACTTTTTTTGATGCATTTGCAGCCATTTCAGTTGTAGTCTGAAGTCCTGACGCACCACTTACCTACTATTCTGGTCTTGGTGTCATCATTGAGATTAGACGCAATGTCTCCCAGAACGCTCAAGATGTGACAGGTCATTGTAACTGAAACAACTGGTGACCTGATCATTAAAACAAGAACATAATTCTAAAAATCATAAAACAAATATTTTGGAACAAAATCAAGCAGACAACTTTTACACACTGCCCATCAATCAAAACTTCATATTCTCTGACGTTTTTCCTTTATACTATAACTGTTTGTGCATTTACTGAGAAAAAATAAATAAATGAATTTCACAACAAAAATTCACATATCACTTCCTTAGCTCTGTTCTCTGACCTGATAGTATTCTCCCAGGTATCCAACACGGTGCCATAATTCAGTTTAGGAGAGCAACTGGCAATTTTAGCTAACAGCAGCCAGGCAGCAGCGGCCCTCTCTCCGTCGGTGTGAGACAGCAAACCGTTCACAAAGGCAGGAGTGAACTTCTGCTGTGGAGCCCACACGCTGAAAGTCTTGCTGAAATACCGACTACAGAAGAGAGAGATGTGGGGGGAGGACAGAAATAATAACAATGACAAAAAAGAAAAAAGGGGGGGGACATGTCACATACTGCTAGTCACAGATGAATAGGACACGTGTAACTGACCTGAGGTCTTGACACTTTTCACACATCAGACCCAGTAAGTCCCAGGCCAGCTTCTGAGAGGTGTCGTCATCCCGATATTTGCCTTGACTCTTAATGTGAGCAATGACGACATGGTCCAGACACTCTAGCGCTTTCTCTTTTAATAGGGCCCATATTATAAAACACAGATTTGTTATGCTCTTTTGAAATAATTCTGTTTACTATGCACACATACTCTAACAATAACAACGCAATAAAAAAAAGTTCCCTCCCCAGTCCACAGAGACCATTTATGGAAATTAAGCTACAAAAATGGGTCAAAAACAACATTTGAATGTACAACAGTAGTGCTTTAAAGTAACTTTTTTCAAAGGGTCTTATCATATTGTACAAATCATCTAACAGCTAAAGTATAGTATATGATCAGCATACTGATTAATGCACCACTGTTAAAAATATAGAAACTAAAAAAACTCTTCAGATGAACTAGTTGACCGCTCGATAAGTTGAATGTGAAATGCTTCAAAATGTAGAATGTATTTCATACCTCCAGTGCACTTTTTCTAGCATTGATTTTTGGATCGCTGACATGTTTTTTAAATAGAGTCAATGTTTCCTCATCTAAAAGTAAATAAAGAAACATTCATTAAGAAATAGTCATGCAAAATTTGAAATTTAAATAAGGCCTCTATGAGTCGAACTTACTCTGTAAAGAAGAATTCATGACGCTCCTGTGAGTCGTGGTAATGCTCTTGTGTTTTGTAAGCTCAATGGTTCTGAAGGTGAGAGCAGATTTCTGAACAGTCTCTCTTCTTTTTAGAGTTTCTGAAAAACAAAACACAAACTGAACCATCACTGACTATAAAAATGCCTCGGCCCTAATTTGATTTTAAATACCAAAATATGATCTTACGCTCAGAGCGGCCCGACTCCAGCATAGTCTGAGCACCTGCAGAGAAAAGAATGAGCTTATTCAGTATTCAAACATATTGTTTGTTGTAACTAAATAATAGAACATTTTACACAGAGCTGTGCAGTTACCATACTGTAGTAATATACTTACTGTTGGAGAAGAGCTCATGAACACATTTTGTGGCATTCTGGGAACCCAGCTCCAGACACTGTGCCAGGCAGTGCAATGCGTGACCTCTGACTGTGGGGGAGACATCATTACGATGATTGTAGATGATGTTGTGCACCAGGAACCTGTGAGGAAGGAACACAGCCAGCTCAGGGTCCACTGTGTCGTCCACATCCCTCTCACTCTGCTCCAGGAGGACCAAGGCAACATCAAGCGCAAACATTCTGAATGCCACCTGAAGAGAGGTTTTTATTGTTATCCATCAGGAACAGACAAGAGTAGGCCTGGGCGATAAAATGGTGTCAATATTTATCGACGGTACACCTTCAACAACGATATGAAAATCTATAAAATGTTCGATATAGTGCACGATATAGGCACGTGCTATGAGTGATGCAGACAGCACACACACAAACATGCTGAAATGAGTGCTGTGCCTGCCTGCGATGAGGAGATTGTGAATAATGAATGAATATTAAATCGAATTTAAAATAAACATTTCCATTTGAATGTTAGGAGTGCATCAGGGAGCGTCAACAGTGGCGCGCGAGATGCAGTGATAATGATGTAAGTGACGTTGTTGCATTTGAATGTTTTGTTAGTCTCTAGTCCATGAGATGCGCCGCTGGTGTGTTATGCATTCAAAATATTAGAGAAATATAGAAGCTCAATGCGGAGAAGATCTTGATTAGGTTAAAACCGGAACCAAGCTATTCATACAGAACGCATATTCAGCATATTTTTAGACGGACAAATACGACTGCTGCACTCGCATCTCACACAAGAGATGTAACCATGCAAAGTTAAAACAGTTTAAACCTTTAGAAAACACGTCGCGAATTTGTGGAGGTTTCTTCCTTTTCACTGCTTCTCTTATGTTTTTAAATGCAATCTGCGTGATGGGCGATTCGGCTTTTTGTATTAATCAATGCATAAATACATGATGCTGTTTTATTCATAATTGTTTATGCAATTTACGAAATTATATTTGATTTATATGAGTTAATTTAGACGTAATGCAGGTTTTTTTATAGACATTTATTTCCTTGCGTTGACAATTTAAATGTGCTGCATAATTTTGCTCATTGCGCCCTCCTGCGGCCTCGGGAGACAACACAAAAGTTTCCTTCAGACCTATATAATCTGCATATAAAACATTAGAAATTAGATATTTGTTTAATTTTTATTGTGTTTGACTGTTAAAACAAAAAATATTTGTTGTTTGTCTCAATAAATTGGGTTAATTTAAAAATACAGTGGTTAAATTTAAACATTTTTTTCTAATGCTCTTTATTAAAATAAATTTCAATAATTATTGATACCGAACGATATGAAACATTATATCGTTGATACATTTTTTAGCTATATCGCCCAGCCCTAGACAAGAGCATTGAAAAATATCAAATAATCTGTGCATATGGTAAGTTGTGCTTAAAGGGGTCCTATTATGCTCTTTTACAAAGTCTTGATT